CCGGTGGAGCGACGGCGCGAAGATGGTCACCCTCGACTACTCGCGCCTCACCAGCGTGCTGTGGTGGGTGTGCAAGGGCTTCCAGGCCCGGCTGGACGCATGGAAGCCTGGCAGGCGCAGCGGGGGCCGAAGAACAGGCGCTGGCCTAGCCGACGACTTCAACGTGCGGGGCCCGCAAGGCAGCGCTCAAAGCCCAGGACCGCGTCGTGATGGGGCGGTAGGTGCCGTTGCGTAGACGCCTCTCGTGGCGAGGCCTGAGAGAAGTCCGCGCCCGCGACGTCCAGCTCGCTGCTGCTGCTGCGCACGCTGTAGACCACCCGTGCTGCGCGCCCAAGGCCTATCATGTTCACGCTGACGTTTGACACTGCCGCCCAACCCGTTTGACACTGGTCTGACGCGCGATGTGAGGCGCTGAAGGCCGACGGGCCGGCAGGTGCGCTGGGCAAGTTCTACCCAACTCGGGGCTTCAAGCGGGTGTCTGGCCTCGACTCGATTGCCTTCCTGGACAACTGCAGGTGGCCAAGTCGGCAGTCGGGACGACACATTCAGGGAGACCAGCCACTCCTTCACACTCGTTCTTCGCGATTTTTACAGCGACATCTCTTCAACGCCGACGACATAGTGCCGGAATGTGAAGGACCTGGACGACGCGATTGCCAGGGATTGCACGTGGCTCTGGGCCCTGTCAGGGCCTTCTAGGCCAGGTGAAATGCCCCGCGTGCCACCGACACCATTCAACGATGACGCCTGGCACAGCGCCCGGCGCAACCATTCTGAAGGGTGCCTCTCGCTCAGAGTCGCAGCCCCTGGCTTCAAGCTGCTCTTTCCGCCAGCCGAGGACGACCCCCGCTCTACAACTTTCTCGCCGACGAGATGCGCCCCGCTCAGCCCTGACCGGTTGTACATGCGGACCAACTTCCCCTACAAACCCTTCGAGGTGTCCGACGCGACGGAACGCATCGTGGACGACTTCATGGAGCTCTACTTCAACTGATCGGGTCTGCTAGATGGAGAGGAGGAGGATGGCGGAGAGGAGGTAAAGAGAGCCCTGGCGAAGGTCCTCATGTGCCCGGACCTGGAGCAGGCGGAGCAATGGGTTACCTTGGAGGAGGACGGTGCCATCAAGGGCTCCGCTGACAAGATGCTTTTCATTCGCAGATGGACGCCAAGATCTTTTCCAGGACCGACAAGTTTGTGGGGTTTACCGGCCCACCAGGGGGTGGCAAGGGGGCAGTCATCTACACGCTCCGCCGCTTTGGCGGCGATGGACGAGCCAATCTGTTCCGACAGGGTCCGCGGGGCTGAGGACTGCAAGCCGGTGTTGGCCTGGCCGGCAAGGCAGCGGGCTACTGCGATGAGATCTCCATCGCCATCTTGGATGTTGCACGCCTCATGAGTGCCTCACTTGGCCTGGCCACTGGAGCTAAACCTTGGCAATGCTCGCAAGGCGGCGGAGGGCTTTTCTGCTTCTTCACTGCAGCCTTTGCTGGCCCTGTGTTTGGAAGCCTCATTGGGGTCTGCTCAGGCCACCCTATCGGTGCTTTGGCAGCAGGTGACTGAGCTTTCTTGTCAGCTCGCCCTAGGTTGCCCTGATGGTGGCCCGCTTTCACAAGGCCCACAGCGCCCTTGACACGCTTTCATCTGAGGCCGGCACATGCAAATCAGCACCTGGGTGAGCTCCCAGAAGCTGAGGCTCATCAGCGCAGCCGTGCGGGTCAATCAGCAGTTCCTCTGCTGCTGGAGGCTGCGCAACCAGCACGAGCTGGACGCCGTCATCGAAGAGCTGAGCGCCCTGCTCCCAGGCGACCAGGGAGCCCTTTAGCTTCCTCTTCGTGTACCTAAAGCCTAAGAACGAAATGTTCTACAAGCGCTTTGAAGAGCGTTTCGCGCTTGAGAAAGACTCAGATGGGAGCGGCGCTCAGCTTCCTGGGCCAGAAGCTGTTCGCCAGCTCCACTCTGATCAACGCGAGGTGTGAGAACATCTCGCACTTCCGTCGCAGCCGTCCAGTCCCCCATCATCCGTCGGACGGGTGGCTTCCTAAAGAAAAGGATGACGACGATCTACGTGGACAGCCGCAAGCAAGAGGGTGGCCGCGACTTCGAGGTCGACCTGGGAGAGTCCCTGCACCTGCAGAGCGACGCCAGGCTGGCCGTCTACAACGCCCGGCTGGCCGCCTGGATCAGCTCCAACTTTGCTACTGCCACATACAGCGACCACGAACAGCCTGAGCGTCGCCTACGACGGCAACCAGCTGAGTACGACGACAGTTCTTTCCACCTCCAGCCTGGTGAGCGCCTCTTCCCAGTATACAAGAAAGGCGACTCTGCCAGTGCTGTAGCGAGAAGCACATCCCCTAACAGTCTGACGGCTGGGTTTTCGGGCAAAATCGGAAGTTTGGAGCGAAGTCGGAATTCCGAGCTCAGTGGATGGAACTCCAGCCTCGCTTTCAGACCGAAGCCGCGGAGCCGGCCTCGCTTTCAGACCGAAGCCTTGCTTGTCTCAGCGGTTAGCGCTTGTCTCTGCACCACCCCTGGTCCGGGGCTCCCAACATTGCCCATTAATGAATCAACCCGTTCCAATATTGACTCAAACGCGTTAGACCCGGTGACGAAGCCGTGCGGCAGATTGGCGTATCAGGCGACGAATGCGTTTGGCAGGTTGCCGCGTTAGACCCCGGTGACGAATCGGCGGGATCTGGAGGCTGAGGCACCACACTTGCCGTCTGACACGAAAAAACGAACTTTTCGGAGTTGGCCGTCTTGAGCGCTTTTTGCACCAAAAACGGAGCGGTGACAAAGACCGGTGACATCGAAGAAACGTTCAGCAGGATGGAGAATTTGGCTGTTTTGCAGAGTTTTTCGACCAAAAAGCACAAATAATTATGATACTATAAGCTGCCTTTCCTTACTACTGTCGTGACCACGAAGTTCCCGTCAGCTCCCGCGTGGCGCGCTCGGCGTTCTTGTTTTGCAAAGGCCACGGCCGTGGTGGACCGGGGAATCCAGACACTGAAGAAGGACCTGGCCACGCGCGTGACCCGCAAGGAAGCCGTGCGCCGGACGGCCACGCAGCCTTCCGGGTGAAGACGTCCAGTAGCACCTGCCGGCCCACGTCGGCCTTCAGCCTCGAAGGCCAGGGCCTGCGTCGCTGCCAGTAGTAAGGAACACAGGAGTAGCAAGGAACATAGGCTTATAGCACCCTAATTATTTTGGTTTTTTGGTCGAAACCTTGCAAAACAGCCAAATTCTCCATCCTGCTGAACGTTTTTTTCGATGTCACCGGCTTTGTCAGTTTTTGGTGCAAAAAGTGCTCAAAACGGCCAACGTTCCCACCCACACGGCGGGCTTCTCCTGAAGCCTGCGCGCATCGGAAGGCCCTAGAGGACGTCATTATTGCTTAAAGAGGCTGCGCGGGTTTTTTTTGAAAAAAAGGTGCGCCGATCGCTTAGCTTTTCGTACCTCTCCAGATCCTCGTCGAGCATATTAATGAACTGGTTCGCCGCAAGACTGACAAGGATTTGCGCCCAACTTACAAGTGCATCGCCAAGTTTCTGATGAAGGACGCTGCTAAGTGAAGCAAGCCTCGGCAACGTACCAGAAGATCACCATCTCAACTGTGGAAAACAGTTCTCTGGTGTGCGCGAGTCATCTATGCAGGCTTTTTGCTTCTGAGCCTGCGTGCTCGCTCTGCAGGCGCAATGGATCAGAGTACCCAGACTAACGTCAGATGGTCGCTGGACGCCAACCCACTTGGTGAATTCGGTTGCGGCGTGGACCTTATGACAAGCCAACACCGCTACCGCCTCCTCCACCACTTCCACCACCACTGCCGCCGCCCTTTACCTCCGTCCCATGATGATGGGTCAACGTAACATGTGTGATGACTCACAATCCGACATCCCACACACCTGGCATCTACCTCAACATCATGATCCACCAGGAGGTCGTGAACACTACTCATCCCACCCACATCGGCTTCTTCCCTCGCCGTGCTCCTCACCAAGGAACCACCGGCAAGACTTCAGACTTCATGACAGCAGATCAACGTCCAGAAGATCTCGCCCGTCCTTTCACCATTTTCTTGACACGGCGATCCAGGACTCCCAGAACAAGACAGGCGCAGAGGCTGGAGTTGAAGGCGTCACTAACACCTCCCACGACCGAAAGCCCTTTTTGTGAATGCCCGATTTCCCGGGCATCACTGTCAATTTCTTCCCCTTGGTCATCGGCGATGCCTGTCCGACACAAGCGCGAACATTTTCATTGCCGATGCTGGGCCCACCGCGGCCGAAAATATCTTCCCCGCGACCTGTGGAGGAATCGTGCAGTGTGTACAATCAAGGCACGCCTGCCTGAAGGCAGGCAAGTTCTCAAAAAAGGCCCCAAAAAGCGGGCCGCAAACTTGCAGCGCCTTAAAAGGCCCAGCTTGCCTAACACACCTCTTCCCTTGGAAACCAAAAGTCTGAAATCTTGAGAAACCAACCTAGCAAACTCACCCGTTGCTTCGGAGAGGGGAACACATATATCGAAAAAGCTGTATATATATATATATACAATCAAGGCACGCCTGCCTGAAGGCAGGCAAGTTCTCAAAAAATGCCCCAAAAAGCGGGCCGCAAACTTACAGCGCCTTAAAAGGCCCAGCTTGCCTAACACACCTCTTCCTTTGGAAACCAAAAGTCTGAAATCTTGAGAAACCAACCTAGCAAACTCACCCGTTGCTTCGGAAAGGGGAACACATATATCGAAAAAGCTGTATATATATATATGTATGTACAGATATGTATATTCCACGCAGAGGTAAGGGGACCTAAAGCAACAGCATCCTTTCAGCCCTCCGGGTGGAATTGGACAACCCTGACACCCCGGGTGGAAAAACACAGCAAGTCCCACATGAACAGGGCAGCCAGCCACCGGAATGTTGCGAGGACACACACCAACTCCCCATCCCCTCCCACGTAGTTAGCAGCTACACTGCTTTTGCGCGTGGGCCACAATGCTCAAGGCTCTGCGGGCGGCAAGTAGCAGGGCCCGTCAAGCAGCACTTCGTGCATATTGGCAGCCAGCCACGGCTCACGGCTGTCCCAGGTTGCTGACATGTCCACTGTGCCAACAATCGGGATTTTAAAGAGCCAAACGGCGTACGAATAGATGCCAGTCTTGGACTGAGCCAGCTGGTGAACATCGCAATTTGCTTGGAAGAGCGCCCGCTGAGAAAGGACAAACTCCATACTGTTGATGTTATCAAACAGTATGTAGCCGTACTGCTGCCTGTCAAAGCCCTTTAAATCTGCAGCCTCCGCATCTTGCACGGTCTGTATGAAAGGCTTACCCAGTCCGAAAATGTCACCAAGGCTTTTTGCAAGAGTGCTTTTGCCACTCTGCGAGCCTCCTCTCAAGATCAGAAACTTGTACCTCATCTTCGGCTCTTGGTATTGGGATGCCCAGGACTCGCATCGCGCCAGCGCCGGTGCCTTGAAATCGCCTTTCAGGCGCTGCAGCGACACCTCTGCGGCAGCTTGCTGCTCCAGCAGCCGTCCGCGCTCCTCGTGCATCTGCACTGCCTCCACCTGCCGCTGGCGCCCGATGAAGCCAGTGCGAACCTGGCACCTCAGAGGTGGCGAGTTAAGCTCAAGTTGACGAGACTCAAGGAAGGTTCTGGAGCTCTGTTCCCAAACGCTATGTTCCAGCGCAAGTGAACAATGCGAATCTGGGGGCTGCGCGCATACTGGAGGTACGTCTGGTGCGACAGCTTGTGCGCGCTCCATAGGGAATCCAACCAAGGCCCCTTAACCGTGTAGTGGATCCAAGGCTCATAGTTGGAGGTCGCCACTTCCAAAGTGCCCACCTAACAGGGAAGGTTTCCCCGTGAGAAAGCAAAGGGAGCTTTGAGAGCCAAAGTCACGAAAACCACCCGAGCTGGTCCCTGTTTTCCCGTAGTGGGAAAAGGAAGAAGTCTGAAAGCAGCGCCTTCTGCGCGTAGCAGTAGAAATGGCCCTGGTCCATGGCTTCCCTGGTTCGAGGACCTCGCGCGCGAGTTGGCTGCGCGTTTGGCGTAATGCCTCCAAATATCACGGGCCGCAGCGTGGTCCAGTCAACAGGGCGGTTGAATTCGGCGAAGAAGTGCAAATGAACTCTTCCCTCATGCGCTGAATGGTAGGAATCCTCCATAGTTGCGGTGAACCGAGCCACGAACTCCAGCGTGGCGAGCCACGTGAGAAAGTCTGACCAGCTCTCCCTTTTCAGCGCCAGGGAGTTGAAGGTGAACAGCGCCGAACTTGCCCGGAGACGGAAAGTCCTCCGCTCGGTCGGCGCTGCCTGCGCAAAGGGCTGGGATCTGTGAAAGCTTCGAGTTGGGCGCTAACTTCCGTGCACTGAAAGCGCCGTCAAAATTGTATCAGACGACAAATCCGGCGCCTGCGGAGCAGCCGGTGCTGCTGGTTCTGCCGCAGGACGCTGCCTTTCTGCCGGGGCCACGCGCCTGCCAGGAAGAGGTGGCACCTGACGGCGCCGCATTTTGAAGCTTGCCCCGCTTTCTAGGGTCTCGCTCTCCAAACACAAAAGGTTACAACAATATTTTCTTCCCGTTCTCCTGGCGCACTCCGGCGTAGAGCGACGTGACTTGCTCCAGCCGGCTTCGCTGGTCCGGAGTTGTGGCGGGCGAAGCCCGCACTTGCTCCACCAACGAAGCAAATCGCGTCTTGTTGTACTCCTGCGCTGCCCCTGGCGTCTCCATGCCAACTTCGGCCATGAGCTCGCGTAGGTCCTCGCACGCCTGGCGCTTGCGCGCCGTAGAAGGGGCTGCCATATGTGCAAACGACCGTAGTCTCTCTGAGCCCTTGAGCTACGCGCAGACACAAAAGCTGCAAAGCAGGCCCAGTCCAAGCTACCAGCTCCGTCTACCAAACATTTTGCCCAGCCAAAATGTCATCCAGCCAGCCCTTGAGCCCAATGTTTGCAGAGAAGCCTAGCATTTTCTTCCAGCCAGCAAGGCGTGTAGCAAGTGTTGCGTCAGCAGGCCTAGCACTTGAGCCAAACATAACCAGCAAACCGCACTGCTTTTTGCAACGCTTGTTTCGTGAAAAAGCTCCTCTGCGTGGCAACACTCCGGGGTATTAATTTGGGGAGGGGGGGAGGCGCACGCACACGCACACATACACAACACAGTACCGGGATCATTCCGGGATGTTTCCGGGATCCGTTTGTGCTGCAAAACGCAGTGCCGGGATCATTCCGGGATGTCTCCGGGATCCGTTTGTGCTGTAAAACACAGTACCGGGACCACACACCCCGTTTGGGACTTACAATGTTATTAAGGGGGGGGGTGTTCGAGGAAAGGGCAACCGACTAGAGGCAGGAAAGGGCAACCGACCAGAGGCAACGCTAAACAACGCGCAAGCTCCGTACTTCCTAGCCTTGTATCCCAGGCAATGGTTCAAACGGGGTCGCTATCAAACTCAGCCCTCGATCTTTTTCTCGCACTGCCCACAGGCTGCGCCAGTTGCTTCAGCCAACACGTTGGAGTCTTTAAGTTGGCATGTGCAGCAAAGTAAGGGGGACAGCCACGTTCGAGCTGCCTCAGCACTACATGTTGGAATCTTCAAGATGGCAACATGCAAGAAAGCAAGGGGCGACAGCCCACGTTCGAGCTGCTTCAGCACCACGTGTTGAAATCTTCAAGATGGCAACATGCGAGAAAGCAAGGGGTAACAGCCCACGTTCGAGCTGCCTCAGCACTACATATTGGAATCTTCAAGATGGCAACATGCAAGAAAGCAAGGGGCGACAGCCCACGTTCGAGCTGCTGCAGCACCACGTGTTGAAATCTTCAACGTTCGAGCTGCTTCAGCACCACGTGTTGAAATCTTCAAGATGGTAACATGCGAGAAAGCAAGGGGTAACAGCCCACGTTCGAGCTGCTTTAGCACCCCGTGTTGAAATCTTCAAGATGGCAACATGCGAGAAAGCAAGGGGGACAGCCCACGTTCGAGCTGTTTCAGCACCACGTGTTGAAATCTTCAAGATGGCAACATGCGAGAAAGCAAGGGGTAACAGCCCGTTCGAGCTGCTTCAGCACCCCGTGTTGAAATCTTCAAGATGGCAACATGCGAGAAAGCAAGGGGGTGAGACAGCCCATGTTCGAGCTGCTTCAGCGCCACATTGTTGGAATCTTTAGGATGGCAATATGCGAGAAACAGCCATGTTCGCGCCGACGGGACAAGAATCTCCAACATTGGTGAGAAATGAGAAATCAAAAGTCTGGCCGGTCATGCTGCGCCGCGCCCATGGCGACGACGCAGCAACCACAACAAATCTGCGTCGCCGAGGTTGCCGGCTCTGGCCAACAAGCGTCTCCGTTTCTTTGCCTGCCAGCGTTTGGCGCGATCAGAAAAGTGCTCCCAAACATTTGGAAAGAATTGCAAGCAGCATAACACCCACACGTGCCTCGTTGCGGATGGATTTTGCGATCGTCTTGAGCTCTGCCTTCAAAGTGCGACGGCGGCTCTTCATCTCATCCAAGTCAGGGCTGTCGATCTCACGGCGCTCTCCCCGCTCCTGCTGCTCCCCACGTTCTTCCCGCTCCTCTTGCTCACCACGCTCGCTTTCCGCCATGGCTTGATCGCTTGATCTGCCAAAATGCCCCAGCTGGCTTGCCAGACTCACACACACACACACTGTCTCAAAACTCCAGCACCAAATCTCCTCGCCCCAGGCGCTAAAACACGGCCCGAGAAAGCCCATCAGATCTACACTCAAGAGCATGTGCCGAGATAGTCTTACACTATCAAAATGCCAATCGGCCGTCCCAGTTTGCAAAGCGCTCCTGCTCAGAATCCGGGCTGCGCACTCATGCTTATGCAGGAGCACGGTCAAAGAGCAAGTCACAAGCGTACAGCATGCGCCGCCTTTTCGGCCACACATGCTGCATGTCTTCAGGCTGCGGCTTCTCGCCGCAAGAAAGCAAAGCGGTCTGTTCGCCCAGCAAGCGCTTCAGAGGCTTGTGCAGCGCCTCTGGCGCACACTGTGCCTGAGCGCCCACACAGGCAAAGGAGCGAGCCCATTTCCGGCTAGCCCAAAAGTCTTGCGGTGACCTTTTCAAAATTCGCACTAGGTCTGTGGTGCAAACAACTTGGCCGGCGTTCCGAGCATGGTGGTTTTGCCACTCCTCCTGGAGCCAACACTTGAAAGTTCTGAAGCCTCGAACATCTAAGGAGACACCAAGATAGCAAATGCGCTGCTGGGCCTCGCCACCGAGGCCTTCGTCGCAGCGCAGCTTGCTAGCCGGGACGCCAGCATCACGGCGCTCCAGGCCTCCAAGGCCGACGCGACGCTGCTGGCCTCGTACGCCACGAACGCCGCGCTCTCCGCCAGCGAGACCGCGCTCCAGAGCGCCCTCGACGCAATCCTCGCGGAGCTCGCCGCCCTGCAGCTTTCCGGAGGCGGAGTTGTTAACGCGCCGGCCTGGGCGGGCTTCACAACTTGGGAGCTCGTTCGCGGAAGCAACGTCGTTCGCAACCTGCATCTGGAGGCTCCTCTCTCTGCTGCGCTGGCCAACGGCGACGACACGCTGAGCATCACGGCAGACTGCGACTCCGTCGCAGCGGCGGACGCGGCCCTCGCGGCTGCGCTGCTGGCCTACTACACCTCCTCACAAGTGGACACTCTGTTGGCCGACTACCGAACCGGAACGGCGCAGGACACGGAGACGACCAGCGCCATCACGGCCGCGCTGCTGGCCTACTACTCCGCGGCGCAGGTAGACGCGCTGTTGGGAGACTACCGCACGGCGAGCGCGCAGGACACGCAGACGCAAGCCGCCATCGCGGGCGCGCTGCTGGCCTACCGGACGGGCCCGGACCAGGACGTCTTCACAACCAACCAAATCACCTCGGCGCTGGTGGCGTACCGCTCAGCCGCAGACCAGGACACGGCGACGGCCTCGAGCATCGCCGCCGCGCAGCTACTACACCATCGCGCAAGTAGACGGCCTCCTCGCCGGCAAGCTCGGAGTCGCGGAGGCGGCCTCGGCGCTGCAAATAGCCGTGCGCTTTCCGGACGACGGAGGGGCCGACGAGGTGGTGGCCGCCATAGGAGAGCAGATCCTGGCCCCCACGGACGTCTCCCTGTCAAACTGGACGGTTCGCCCCAGCAGCGGCTGCAGCGTGGTCCTGGCCACGCACACCGCGGGAGTAAGCGTGGACGGCTACACCCTGACCCTGGCGGCGACCCCGTGGAACATTGTGCGCACCTACAACTTGACGCCCGGCAGAGAGCTGCTCTTCGCCTGCCGCTACCGGCTCGGCACGGCCTCCAACTTCGTGGTGTACGTGTCAGAGGCCGACAACGTCTACGACCCATTGTACGGCAGCTTCGTGGGCGACCAGGGCGCCGGGAGCACGGCCAAGATGTACTTCACCGTGCCGCCCAACGGGGTGGCGAAGCTGCACTTCGGCGCGCACTTCCAGGCGCCGGGCCTGCCCAACCAAACGGCAGGAACGGTGGACGTCTACGGCCTCCAGATCCTGGACGCAACCCTGGAGGCCGGCAACACAAACACAGCGGAGGAGGACACGGCGGCCTCGGCGCTGCTGCTGAAGCACGAGTTCCTCGACGGAGGGGCCGACGACGTCACGCTGGCCACCCTGGGCGAGGTGCTGCTGGAACCCACGCTCACCACGCTAGGAATTTTCCTGGTGCGCTCCAACAGCCAGAGCTCCGTGGCCTCGGCCAGCTTCGCGGTGGGAGGCTTCCAGCTGGAGGGCTACGCCATGACCCTGAGCGCCTTCGCCTGGAACATCGTGCGCACCTTCAAACGCTGGATCAACGCTGGGCGGGATGTGACGGAGCGACAGGCTGAGGTATTGGAGCGAGGCTGCAGAGAGAAGCGAGGCAAGGTGAGGAACCTGCCGGGAGACGCTACTCCTTCGGCTGCCGGTACCGGCTGGGCACGGCCTCCAACTTGGTGATGTACGTCAGCGCGGCCGACAACGACTACGTGGGCGTCACCGGCACCTTCCTCGGCACGGCCGCGCAGGGAGTGTGGAGCACGGCGCGCCTGGACTTCTCGGTGCCGCCGGGCGGAATCGCGAAGCTGCACTTCGGAGCCGTCGGCGGCTCCATCCCCGGGCTGGTGCAGCAGTCGGCGGGCACGCTGGACCTGTACAGCATGCAGATCAGGGCCAGCGCCTTCGAGGGAGAGTCTGTCTCAGTAACGGACCTGCTGGCGGACTCGCTGGCCCTCACGGGCTCGGCCTCGCTGGACGGGCTCACCGCGCAGGGCAACGTGGGCTGCGACCAGCTGCTGTGCAACGACGTGAACTGCACCGACGTGTTCACCACGGGCGTGGACGCCTCGGGCGCAGTCTCCTGCGCGGCGCTCACAGCCACAGGCACCGTCGCCGGGGCCACGCTGACGTCCACAGGGGCCGTGTCAGGCAGCTCGCTGAGCATCACCGGCGCGGCCAGCGTGGGCCTGCTGAGCTCCGCCACCGGAATCACGGGCAGCACGTTGACCATCAACAACACGGCCAACGCCGGGAACTTCACCACGGTGGGCGACGTGTCCGCGGGGACATTGACGGCCTCGGGCGCAGCAACCGCGGCGAGCTTCGCAGCCACCGGCGCGCTCACGGGCGCCACGCTGACGATCACCGGTGCGGCCTCAACGGGCCCGCTGGACTGCGAGAGCCTGGACTGCACCTTCACGGCCACGAGCGGCGGAGTGTCGACGGGCGGCGTGGTCTGCGGCGACGTGACGAGCTCGGGCACGGTCTC